TCCAGGGTCACATATGGTAAGGTAACTTACAGACAGTTAACCAATTAACAATTTCTATTTTTGTAAAAAAAACTGTGTGAGACAAAATTCACAAAAGTGTATTCAGTAAAATGATCTTTACCTTCAGGGCTTTACTAGCTCTGCTGTCTGAAGTCATTCTCTGGATTTATGTATCTCTGAAACCTGTAAATGTCAAATAAACCAATTAAGTGAAAATGTGCACGGAATTGTGAAGCAAGTCACTAAAGTTATTAAAGCAAGTCACGATATTGTGAATGTAGTCGAAGCTAAAGGCCGTTGTTCGGCTTGGCACGGCAAACCGACTATATTCACAGTACTGCAACATCTTTGAGTGCCTTGCTTTTATAAAACAGTCAAAGCATAATACAAATATCACAGACTCAAATTTGTTATTAGATTATTTTAACAAGTGACATTAGAAGGCATAGAACCCTGACATAATAACAGAGAATGATGTAATACAATAGAAATAACGACGATCTGCATTGCGAGATGCGCAGTTATGATGATTTGCTATCAGCCTTATCGGCACAGATTTTACCAATTTCTTTATCTCCGGAAAATACTATAACAGGATTACAGAATCAATTTCTATCTGAAGTATAAATCGTTTTATTTTATGGATTAATTTCTTTCCAATGAATTATTTCTAACTTAAATAGGCTATGTAAATTATTCATGTTTAAGATATCTGCATCAACCATTAAAAAATATCGGTTGACCACTATGAACAGGTGTATTGTGTCATGGCTGGTAAAGGAAGGTGGGTTTTAGCACAGAATAAGGAAGACAGAAGACAGGAACTAAAAGTTTATAAATATATAATGTGGTTTGTGTGGTCAGATTTTAAAGACCATTTAAAGACAATAAACCTCCAGTTCTTATTTCATCTTTCTAAACCTAGGCTTCCCGTATCCAAAGAGTAGCACTTTTTTTTTCTTGACAGTGACTCATGACTGGACCTGGTCAAAGTCCAGAAGCAGAAGTGAACGCTGCTGACCATGAGTTTCCCGTCATGCGTGTTAAGTGCGCCTATCATCCGCGAGCTGCTGCCTCAAATAACCGACTGAGCTTTTCCACAGAGTCACAGTGATTCAGCACAAGTCCTCCATTCCTGACTTCACAGCAGCTCCTTACTTTCCTTTCGCTTTCCGTGTTTTACAGCATTTATAAACGTCCCAGTTACTCAGTGGCAACAGATATGATCACTTACTGTACACATAAACGGTATAAATAAAACTCAGGTTTAGTAAACAACATCAACAACAACAACAACACAAGTCGTTTTCCCTGAAGCGTCTTGAGGTTGACATGCTCCATAAGTATTGCGTTACTTACAACGAGACGGTTTAATACAAATCTTTCAAATAAATAATTATGTATAAAACAGGATTATAACAACGTAAGAATCCGTTTATTACATAAGATATTACTTGTTCAAACCAAACCATTATTTCGCTGACTATATAGTCGCTTCTCCTCGAAAACAACATACATGTTTACACGTTTTGAGTAGTTCTGAACATAATACATACGGTTATGCTAATACAAATATATATTTTAACTGTCTGAATCGACAGCATCCAAGTTAAGCAGCTAACGTAACGTTATTTCCTTATTCGCGTTAGCTTGTTGCTACACCTAACATCGTGATAAAAACACGCTGTTCGCCCTCATGAAGACTAATGCTATTAAACATGTATAAAATACGACTAAATTATCTTAATAGAAAATCTAAACCATAACAGTATCCGTAGTGGATATTACGTTAAAACGAACACTGAGTGCATGTACGTTAACGTTACGTTACAGCAGGTTTGCTAACACCCCTCCGTTTCCTTAGTGTAAACAAATGTCGAAAGGAGAAAAAAAAAAGAAAATCTTGCCTGGTATTGATTTCTCTTCTTTGCTGTTTTCACACGAAGCTAAATATGGATCAGTCCACGAATCTCACCGCTGGTTCGGTGTTTCGACTGACATACGTTATCGCAGCACGGCCCGTGTTTAGACGGACTAGAGAGCTAAACGCCTTTTTCCCGGAATCAGTCCACCATCAGCGGGCTGGATCCTTTCATTCATAAAAAACACACACACGATGACTTAAGGCTTCAAGAATGAGGGCGGGACCTCAGCACACACAAAATATCAGTCAACAACCTTGTGAAACTTCTTTTTTTATTAACCCATTTAATCCCACCGAGATTTATAGTTGTTTAAAAAGAGTTGATGATGTATTTTACACATTGTCAACTAAATGAAAGTGTAGACTGACTTGAACATCTTTACATGGTGTAAGTAGCCTACAGCCGTTTATTTCCAATGAATAAAAACTATCATCCATAACGAGTATAAATGTATTTAAGGACAATAATGAATGTCTAATAGCCTAAATCTTTCATTTTACGTTTTAGCATGCTATTCATTTTTAAGTGGGCTGGATTAGGCTAGGCCTATAGGCTAATGTAGGACACTTTTTGCAATTTTGCAAACATTATTTCCATAATGAAGCCAAAGCGATCAATCAAAATCTTATATCATGCTCAAATCTGGGACATTATGTTTTGGGTTAGAAATAGTTAAATTTTTGCAAAGCAAACTTCACATTTAACACTCCTGGTTAAATGTGCATACCCATGGTTAATTACCTTAGAAGGCCTACAGTGTGTTTGCTGTTACCATCAGTTTGTAAAAAAAAAAAACTATAGTAGCCTATATGTTCACATGTGGAATGTTAAATACAACTATATAACAGAAATAACATACTATTTAAAACAATACAAAAAAAAGTCTGATTCCTGGCAGCAACAATAATAATAACCAGCCTAATGAAGTCAAAAATGTAAAATTGGACTCGACAAAGATAGCAAAATAACTTCATAAACTATTTAAAAAAAGATTGAAACTTTGGAACATGGAATGTCTTGATATTGAACTGATATCAACTGAGATTAAACTGATATTAAACTTCTATTTTAATAGAAGTTATAGGACAGACTGAATCTGTCCTCTGCACTTCAATAACTGTCTGGTTCAGCTCAGCTACCAAATCTGACCTCAGAAGACTTCAGAGGGTAGTCCGGACTGCTGAGCGAATCATTGGTACAACCCTCCCTTCTCTCCAAGAACTGTACTCGTCCAGAGTGAGCAAAAGGGCTGGCAGAATCACTCTGGACCCCTCACATCCAGCACACTCCCTCTTTGAACTGTTGCCATCTGGTCGACGCTACAGAGCTCTGAGCACCAGAACGACCAGACACAGGAACAGTTTCTTCCCTCAGGCCATCCATCTCATGAACACTTGACAATAACTGTGGAACACACACTATTTATTCACTCATACACTTATTTATCTAACACTCATACTCAGTCTACATTTCAATTTGCACATAATATACCTGTACATACAACTGTCTATTGTTATATACCTGTACATACAATTGTCGATTTGTATATTTTTATTCCTTAGTTACTTGTTCTATTTTTTATTATCTGTGTTTTTGTTCTGTCACTGTCATTCTGTTACACTGTGGAGCTTCTGTCATGAAAACAAATTCCTCGTATGTGTAAACATACCTGGCAATAAAAAAACTCATTCATTCATTCATTCATTCATTCATTCATTATACTCTGCACATGGTTGGTAAGAATATGGAACATGTATTTTCAAAAGCATGTTAAGCAAATTGTAATGATAAAACATTTCATAACAGAAATAAGCAGTCCTTGCCAGTCGTGGACTTTTTTCAGGATCCCATTGTCTTCTAGTCTCTAAATTTTTTATTTGGATTTTAAAACAAATAATATTGCTGCATTATAAGCCCAAATTGAATAACATAGTATATTTGATTGTCCCACATTTGAAACATCCTTTTCTAAAGTGGGACAACAAAGATTGCTTTAAATAGGAAATATTCTTAACACATCTTAACATTATTGCAACATTTCACAGATGCATCACAAATGTAATTTGATGATAATTTAGAACATTGTTTTATTTATAACAGATTTATATCATTAATTGTGTCTAAGTCACTGACCTTTGAGTGAACTTCACAAGAGGTACTTCCTCATTGATGATTTTCATAGTCACAATTATGGCATAATTTTCAGAAAGTCAAGTTACTTATAGCTTGACACCCCTGCTTGAATTCAACACCAATCTTGTTCACTTTAATGTTGTAAGAGACAAATGCACTGAAGCTTAGGTGTTCAACATTAGTCAGTGTCCCACATTACATGAAGAGGCTATATCAATTTTAGATAAATATATAATTGTGTACATATGTAATTGTTATGTTTTCATATGCAAGTTATTGCCACTTGAATTTGTAAATTGAAATATTTCAATGAAGCGTTTCATTTAATGAAAAGATGATGTCACTGTCAAAGCTCCATAAAAGACAGCTGTCACTTTTTATAAATACAATATTTTAAGGCTATTAAGGTAAGACCACTCTTTCTCGTTTATATTGTGATCAAAATATAAACAATGTATTTGATTTGATATTTATAAATGTATTTGACCATATTTAATGCTTATTTTAAAGTAATTAAGTATTCATTCAATAAGTAATTGAAAAACTCTTACATTAAATGAAATACAGTATAATTAGATGAAATGGTTTATTATACAAAAAATGTAACAACAAATACTTTCCCATCAATTACAACTGTGACCAGAAATAAAACTCAAGCTTTCACTAACTTGAAAGCTTTTAAGAAAAGACATACTGCTTGTTCCAAGTATTCATGCAAAAAAGTATTATGTAATAAATAAAAATAATAAAATAAACATTCTGTTGATCCGATACAACGGTCTGAAACTCGCGCGGTAGCCGTATTTCCTCTTTTTTTTTTTTGTATGAAGTGACTTGAATATGTACGTAATTTAAGTTCCTCTTCCACTTCACATTAATAAAACCAGCAATTTTCCAATATTTCATCGTCCACGGTCACGTGCACGCAATCATGAGCTGCAGTAAGACCTCCCTGTCGATAGGTGTCCTAACATGTCTTTGTGCGTCCTTGCAAGGAACAGGGGAAGTAAATCCGTCTCACATGTAACCCTGGTGACCTCAGGTTTCAATGCGTGCTCTTTGGTTGTAAGTCATTGTGAAGCTCTAAAACATCACTGAGGTTCTTTCACAATTATAATATAACATTTATAACTATAACTAATAAATGGCCGCGATCCAGGAGCTCTCTCCAGACTCTGGCCGTGGGGAGACGCGACCCCCCGAAGGCGAGATCGAGGGTGATGATGAGGATGAAGAGGTACTTGATTGCTTCTACAGTTTTGATTGACCTTATGAAATTGTGAATATATAGGAAATTATAAGTTATTAGCTTGTTTGGTGCTTGCATAGCCAGTATTAGCTATTTAGCCGGTCAAACTTGGCATAAAATACATACAAATACATAAAACGTTATATATGTGTGTGTGTGTGTGTGTGTGTGTGTGTGTGTGTTGTGTGTGTGTGTGTGTGTGTGTGTGTGTGTGTGTGTGTGTGTGTGTGTGTGTGTTTTGTATTTCAGTGATTCTGCGCAAGTGACATTTCATCTTAACTTTGTATTTCACAAGTGTCACTTAAATAATTATTTGTACAAGTAATCAATTTATATAAATTCATTTTAAATAAATTACTGTTATTTCTTGTAAAGATTAGTATTAAAGGGCAAGAATTAGTGTACACAAAGTATATCATATTTTAATATTGCACACTGTTAATAGAACCCGTCGATTGTCAAATGCAGTGTACCTGCTTACCAGCACATGAGGAATAAGGTTTTCCACTGAGTCCTGAGTAAGCCATTTGGACTCGGGCAGTTTGTTTTGTCCAATGACTGGTGGTGTTCATTTTAGAGAATTAATTTTCTGACATGGCTCCTACTTGTTTCCTTCTCTCCCAGTTGGATGAAACACTGTTGGAGAGGTTGTGGGGTCTCACGGAGATGTTTCCAGAATCACTGCAATCAGCAGCTGAAGTATCCGCACAGTGTTCGCTATCTGTAGCCAAAAAACTTTACAGGTGTGGTGCTGGCAGTTGTATCTTGCGCTTAAAACCAGACTGTCACATTAACTCTAGAAATAATCTGGACATTTCAGTATATATTTTTCGTATTATGCTTTCTTGTAGTTTCTCCCGCTCAGCTCTATGGGTCGGTACTACTTCCTTTATGATTCTGGTTCTACCAGTTGTATTTGAGACTGAGAGGTTACAGCTGGAACAGCAACAACTACAACAGCAGAGACAGGTAAGTAGCACCAAAGTCCTGCATAAATACGAACAACTTCCTTGCAATTTCATACCTATTTAAATAGAGGTGAGCTGTATGACTATAGTCTTCTATAACAGTATGGGTAATGCTATATCAAAAGATTATCAATACAAATTAAAGAGTATTATGGAATCACTGCAAAAACAGCATCACATTATGTAACAAATGTGTTTGAAACAAAAACCCCAAAACAGTACTAATGATATAATGAAATAGATTGTTCTGACCAGTGTTGGGGAAAGTTACTTTTAAAAGTAATGCATTACAATATTGTGTTACTCCATAAAAAAGTAACTAATTATGGTACTTAGTTACTTTTTATGGAAAGTAATGCGTTACGTTACTTTTGCGTTACTTTTTAAATCTGGACAGGGCTTGCTTGTTTGTTTTTAAAATAAAAAAGTTATATTTTTGGCAAATATAAAAGCCTTTTCACACCAAAAGTGAAATGAATAAGCCTCAGGCTGAAGGGAAAGTACATTTACGTTCGTACAGTAGAATGCAGAAGAAGAAATTTCAACACACTTCAGCAATAAAAAAAGACACAAATGTTTGTCTAGAATGATTTGTGCTTATTAGTACGGTTGAACTGGATCATCGAAGGTCAGAAGCAAAGACATTGGTTAATAGAATGGGATTAAATACATAAAGGATATTTGTGTTGTTTAACATTTAATTAT